GAAGATTACCTAGACCTGATGCGACCATAGCTCCTATGGTGCAAATGGGTATCTCTCGTACATATAAGCTTCACCCTAAAAGCTGATTCATTTTCCTGAAACCCCTATCATTATGCATGCCGTGTTATGGCTCGTGGATGAGGCTTTGGCCCCCGTCTTTGAAGGTCACCATCACACATAAATGTCACACAGTTCCTCGACTCTATACAAATCACACCCAATATATAATATGTCTAATATTATATTATAATATAATTTATTATCTAGACCATTCATTTCGCCCTAAAAGTAAGTGTTCATAGATCTGTCAGATTTGTACTAGTTTTTGAGTTTTGAATTTCTTTAATTTTAGAGCCATTATGGAGATTTTCATTGCCGAAATTGATAGGTGAGACTTTATTTTGTTTTCATAAAGCCTTGGCCCTATGAAACCTCATCCATCATTAAATTTTTTAAAAATAGTAACCATAAGTATAATTTAAAATAAAAATTAGGAAATGACATTTTTTATTTATACTTCAAAATAAAAGTAAAATAATGAAAGATGTGAATTTGATTGCAGTCTTGGTACATTCAAGGAAAGCTAGACTCAATAAATAACATAATATTCGTCAAATCCCTTAGTCTAAAAAATGTTAAATTTCTAAATACAATGTTCATAGAAAGTTTTAAATTTTTACTTTTATTTGAAACCAATGTTTTAAAACTTGGATTAGGGAGGCAAAATTCGATCAATCATTGGACTAATGTGGATTATTGATCCGGGACGGTTAATGTGGGAATCAATTCCAATAATAATAATCATAATAATAATAATAGTATTCTAAATTTACAAATAAAATTTGAAAATAATAGCGAAAATAAAATGGGTTTGGAAATCGGACAATTGGATATGTCCATATCCGACTCTCCCAGTTCCTTGGTAGAACAATATGATCCTATCAAAACCATATCAATCCCCACTTTTAACTAGGAATCATTTTCATCCTCTATATTGGCTACTACTAAATTGGATCAGTGTGTTTTAAGACACTTTTTGAAGTTAAAATAATAAAAAATATGATGTTTCTTTGCGTTTGGAAAACTCATTCTCAAGTCTCACATAGGGAGATTTCTACTGCCTCTATTGAACTTGTTTTGGGAATAGGGCTGGGTCAGGATGGTAGCACCTTCATATCTTAGTTACCACATCATGGTTTTCATTCACCTTACTAATACTTTCAAAAAGCTAACTCCTAATCTACTTGAAAAAATATTAATACTTTCAACAAGCTAACTCTTAATCTACTTGAAAAAATGAGTAGGAGTCTGTCTTCCCCACCGATTGACTCAAGAAAAAGAAGAAGAAAAAAACTCGTTTTAAAACTATTGACGATACGATTCTTATGCGAGCTAGCCCACCACTGTCCCACTTAGTTGGCTCTTGCAATCTCCACCATCCAACCAAGTTGGACGGTAGAGGTTTTATGTGGGCTACTATGCTATAGCCCACATAGATCAATTTTTCAACTATTAATATAAGGAACCACACTACTAGAAAATTTAGTTTATGGAATTTCTATGACCTTAATTTTGCATAGTCACTCTTTTCATCCCACCAATCAATTTAGAAAAAAATGAAATCCAATTGGCCCTTTTATATATAGTCAAAGTGTGTTCCCTCTATTAGTGAATCTAGACTATTCATTTGGTGAATTTTAAGATCTAGTTCTTTTGGAACTTAAAATCATTTATCACTTTTTAGCATTATTTATCTAATGATAAACAAAACTATCTACAAGATGTAGAAAATGAAAAAGTTATTTCTAAAGCCTAGATCAACCATCTCATTAAATGGATAGCTTATATCAAGTGGATTAAAAAATATTTTTTTGGGCGCATTTTAAAGTTTTTTTTTTTCGTGTGATTGTTCATCAAAATAACAATAGTATAGGTCTAAAAATAGGGTGCAGTTTGTATAGAGCCGAGGATCTAAACATTCAAAGTAAAACACACCTTCAAATAATGTCGAGAAATGTGGTTTCAATATTGGGAATCTTTGTGATAGCCTTAAAATATATTTCATATCTAATTATTAAATTTAAAACTTCAAAAATAGTGTAGATCGAGTATATCTATGAAAACTTGAAAATCTTGAAAATTGACTGTCCGAAAATGTATTACAAGATGCACTATTTTCAAAACTTGAAATCTATTTTTTTCTTATGTCCATGCATCTTGAGGTCAAGATGATCAATTTGAGGATATTTGAGCATCAAAACAATCTCTTCTAATGAATTTTTTGAGGTGCGCCTAACTTAATTGTTTAAAACCTTGCACTTATATAAATGTTTATTTAAAAAATTAGGGTGCTTAATTATGGTTTTTGAAGATTGCTTTATTACATTACTATACAATCGTTGCATGAAAGCACTTCCTGACCACGCCTAACTCGATAAGGTCTTGGATGCCCTCATCGTCGGACTTGGTATGTTGGTATTCAGGTCCAGATCTAGACTAGGAGGGTGGATCCTGGTCCAGATCTAGACCAGGAGGGTGGATCCTGGTCCAGATCTAGATCAGGAGAGTGGATCCTGGTCCAGATCTAGATCAGGAGGGTGGAATGACCCATCATAATTTCCTAGCTACAAAAATACCAACATACTTTTTTTTTGGGTGAGTCAGTGGGGAGAGGGCCCTTACTCTTGATAGGGATTGAACCTAAGACATAATGTTGCAAATCATCAAACACTAACCAATTAAGCCCAAGCTCTTTTCCTAGAATACCAACATACTTGATAGAAAGAAAATACAATATAGTCCATATGGTGACAATATAAACAAGTTCATGTGGATTATTGGGATGGCTGGTGATGGAGGGCCAGAGTTAGATCACGTTTTGGGAGGATAATATTATCAAAGGGGATGAATGGAGGTTAGGGGTAGTAACAGGTCGGGTTCGACAGGACTCGGACCTAGACCCGAAAAGTATTCGGGTCCAGGTTTTGGATTCGGACCCGATCCATCGAGTCTAAAAGTTGGACCCATACCCTTCGGGTCCTGAGTCTAGTGGAGGTCCTTGCTACCCTCATTAAGAGGGTTTTATTTTATTTTTATTGGTATTTGTTTTTTAATTTTTTACTTTTCCCTATTTTTACCATCATATACCCATATTATTGACAACAAAGTCGCAAATAACCACCACTAGATTTTAAGCCGTCTCATTTATCGTTTAATATCTAAAGATAACTACGAGTTCTTACTATATACGATCCTCAATGAACCTAATTAAATAAGCTTGAAGTATTTTATCTAACCGTTTACGAGTACGGGTTAGGTCCAACTAGATCCGGACCTAAACTTTGAGTTGTATTTGAGTGTAAGCCTTGAACCGAAACCGGATGGTAATGTTGGACCCAGCGTTTTAAAAAACGCCGAGTCGAACCGGACTCGCCCGGTTCGACTCGGAAATAGTGAAAAGGGACCGGATCGCCCAAAAAAACGGAAATCGTCCGGTTCTAGAGAGAACCAGACGATTCTGTACAGTGAATCGCCGATTCACTGTACAGAATCGGCGAGTCCGAACAGTGAATCGGCGATTCCGTTCGGAATTATTATTATTATTATTTTATTTTTTTTTTTTTTTTTT